TGGGGTATGATAGATAAGGCAGTGCATTTTTTGGGCAATAAATGTAAATACACGAGTATTTTTCTTCATTGATCTGTAATTACTTGCCAAAAAAAAAGAATTATTATGTGTAAGGGGAAAACATTATTGAATTATCGTGATCTTAACAGTTGTGCAGAGTGTTTGTGTTGTCTTAATCATCACAAAGGCAAAGGTTGGTCTGTGAACTGAACTGTTCATTTTGTACATAGGGCTTTACAGGCTGCTCTGTGTACAAAGCACTGTCCCATTTTATACTTGGTCACTGCCAGAGATACTCTCCAGAAACCCCAAGGTGTGCAGGGACAGTGGAATCACTACAGAATACTTTGTTTTGCCTTGTTTACTGCTATCTCAGTAAATTGAAAAAAAAAAATTAAATTTGAATTGTGGCGTTTTGAGCACAATACAAATGAAAATTTTAAGGTGAATAAATAGCTCTCTCTTAGCTGAAGCTCTAAGGTTGCCCAAAGCCTCTAAAAGATCCATAAAAGCACTTAAGTACCTGCAAATGCCTGGCAGCTGATGCCTGGCTAATGTTTCTTGCTTGTTAGAAAGTGTGTGTATTACTTAACCTTTTGCATATTTATATAAGAAGAGAAAATACAAACTTCAGTGGCACCTCTGCAGCTGTTTTTAAAAAGCACCTGTATGAACCCAGGCTGTGTCCTTGCTCTGCAGGTGTAGGTGTGAGATAGAGGAGCTACAATGCCTGTGAAACTGTACTGCTTTCAGTGCAGCAATGAGTTTGTGCCCTCTTTGGAACCCTGTTATACTGCTGGAGGGCTTTAGAGAAATGCAGCTTGGGAAGAGAAGCAGGGCCTCAATCTTCACCCTAAGTGAGCACAGCTGTTACAGCTGTCTGTGTGTGCAGGGAAAACTGGCAGAGGCTCTGTAACTTCTGTGCCAGTGTAACTTTGGGGTACAGATTGGCAAGCATTTCTTTCTGCAGCTATGCCACACCTGATGCTGCCCATGTTCTCACTTGTGCTACTGCAACTGTTCACATGGCAATTGAGTGGCTTAGGGCAGAAAACTTGATTCAGGTGAAAAATAATCTAGGGTGAAACCTTTTCCCCATTTATTTTCTAATGTCTGATGTAGTGTGTTGCATAGTTTTGACAAGGTAAGGGAAGCTGTGGTGAGAGAAGAGAAACAAGAGCCTGGATTAGGCTGGCACAGCCTCTGAAAGAGCCAGTTGTTGAACTAGAGCTCTGAAAACAACTGGAGTAAGATTTCCCCAAGTTGTAAAAATGATGGCAATTTTTTATTTCCCATGATCTGTGGTATCATCCAGACTGAACTGCAGTCAGTCCACCTGCTTTGCTCAGTGATGGGAAGTCACCTGGGTACAGTGATTATGTCAGGAGTGGATGACTGTAAATGTTATCCACACACTGATGTCACATTGTGCTGGAGCTCTTGTCTCCTAAGACCTCTCCTAGATCTTGGCTTGGATTTTGGCACCCCATGTATGTGAGGAGGATGAAGGAAGGGAAATCGTAAATTTCAATGATCTGATTATTTAAACAAATTTTGTGGAAGAAAACAAGTAAGTCCATCTTTTCTGTGTGGAAACACACCTGACTTGAGTATGTAGTCAATGTAGGTGCTCTTTCTGAGCTCGTGAGTTCTGTGTGACCCTTGTGTTGTACTGCCAGGAAATATCAATTGCTTTACAGCAGGTACAGGGTGGTTGACCCTGTGCCCTCTACAATGGTTTTGGTGGGCCTGCTGCCTGTCCTGCTGTGACCATGAAGGGATTGGGTTGTTAGTGCAGGGCATTTGCTTAAAGATAGGTTTGAGGGTCCTTATAGCAAGGGACAAGCATTGGCTAGTGGTGGAGGCAGCTCTTAAGGGCAGCACACAGAGTCCAGGATCAAATTGTCCATGGTATCTGTGTCTGGCTAGGTGCTTAGCCTGGTACCCCATATATACAAGATATCCCACAGCTACTGGAGAGACAGCAGGATCACTCCTCACAACCAAAGGAGACTTTTCTAAAAGCAGGATCTACTTCATGGTGGGCAAAAGATTGACTTGTTTGTAGGTACAAAGACTGCAGCTACATGTTATGTTCATTTTAGCACTGAGTTGAAACTTTCTTGACCTATGTTCAGTGTGATTAAAACCAAATCCCTCAAATCCAAGAACTGTTTGGAAAGGATTCTGTAATGCTAGGGCAGTGTGGACAGACATGTTCTCATGCCTGCCCTAACATTTGCTTGTAGGAGCTGCTGGACTCCAGCACTTCACTTATTTTGATTTGATACAGTCTACAAAACCTGTTTCTAAACACCATGAAGATTAGAAATTTCTTAAGGGAAATAATTATGCATCTTCCTTGTGAATGCATTATGCACAATTTTATTACATTTATATTAAAATTAGTTGAGATGTATTTTGCTTTATTTACACTATTTTCAGGCTGTTTTGCTTTTGCCTAAATGAAACCATTTTGATGCTCTTGCTTGTCTGGCTGGCTGTAAACCAGGTATTTAAACAAAAATAAAGAGTTGCCAGTTTTGCCAGCTGGGGATGAGAACCCGGCTGGTGATATGTGGGTTTGGGAGGCAGTTAATCCAGCTTTTATGCTTTTTTATGATTTTATGTAAAAAGAGGTTAAAAATCACATTTGGCTCTTTCTTTGTACCACTGCTTTGTTGCTGTTGTGGGAATGCAGCAAAAGGTTGTTCATACTTTTTATTATTATTAGGTAAAGTCCTGCATAAATTACGTAAAGCTGCAAATACAATTTGCTCAAGCTATTGGCCATGTGATTTGCCTTGTTCAGAGAATAATATGTTTCATTTTCCTGTTGCCTTCTTTTATAAACCACACATGCAAACCACACCTCAGCTTACTCATGAAAAGAATCTACCACTGTCTCACAATTTTATGTGTTTTGCTAGCTTCCAAAGAAAAGACTAACTGTTCAGATGAGAAAAACAGTAACAGTGCTAATAGCTATAGCAGAAAAATATATAATGCTTTTATTCTGTGGCAGAAGAAGTGGTGATTTAAAGACAAGAGTCACAGATTTTATATACAGTTTTTCAGCAAATAGCTTGCAATATGCTCCAACTCATAAAACATTTAATTAATTTTAAAATGCAAGAGTTATTTTAGTTAGTTTTGTCATATGTACTTATTCAGATAATTTGTTGTATTTTACACTTTCCAAAATTTCACTTTCTATTTGGAAATATCAATGATGTAATGAGTCTGTTTGTTTTGGCACAGTTGTAAATCATATGTGTTAATGTGTTAATATTTATGATTTTTTAATCTTATATACACAAGAAGGATTTTTAATATACTTCTTTTCCTCATGTTTCTGCTACTAATCCTTAAGAACAGTGAAAAGTAGCAGTATGAATGTATTAATTACTGTGTGATTTCCAAACATTTTCCAAAATTGCCATAGTGGATCAGACTGCATGTTGCTTCTGCTAACAGCCATCCCAGATACTTGAGAGCAGGCTTGGGTTTACTGGGGGAGCAAGAGGAGAGGCGCCTAAATGAGCTCAACGCCCCTCTATTACACATTTTAGACAACTGCAAGATAATCTACTTATGGATAAAATTATTTCTGATCTTGTAGAGGTTGCCTTATTCTTTAAAGACTGAAAGATTTACTTTCACTACCAAGTATCTAAATTACTGTTTCTGTATGTCTGCTTACAGCTTGAATCTGGAGGAGCTCTTTGTGATGGTGATTTCATGTGTCTGTGTGTTGTAAAAAGTATCTTGTTTTCTGGGGATTGATTTGTTGTTGGTTTGTTCTTTTTTATAAAATCAGTCATAGGGTGCTGCCTTTCAGAATTAGCCTTCAGTGATACAGTAACAATTCTCTATAAAGAATTATTTACATTCTTTACAATGCATTTCTACTCTATTAGTTGCATTTCTTTGAATTTTCTGTTTGTTATTGTTTTGAGGTCTTTTGTTTCTTGTTTTAAAGTTTTTTGATAGCTCTTCTGCAGCATATATTGGCTATTTGACACACACAGTTGTAATGCTGTTTTAAGATTTCTTGACTTCTGTTTCGTCTTTTTTGTATGAAGAGGCATGATCTTCTAGAAATTTATAGAAATTGGAATGATACATTCAGTAACCTTCAATTTCCTTATTGCTTATAATTTCTATGGCTGAATGCTGCTGTTATGTTGTCTCCATGTCTGCAATTTAATATGAAGGTGTATTAAGGTCAAGACACACTGCTTAAATTTCTTATTCCAGTTCTCTGGCACTGCTGGGAGAAGGGCTGTGGAATAAGTTGTTTTTGGGTACATGACATTGTTGACATTATGTTAAAAATTGCATAAACTTGACCAGCTTCTGTGTTTATATGATACCCTATATAAGCATTGTTTTGTAATAAACAGTACTGTATAAACACTGCTGTGGTTTTTTGCATTGGCACAGTTCAGCTGTTAGGACTGTTTAATGGAATGAAATGAAGCTGGCAGGAGAAAGGCATTGAGGACTCTAAACAAAGATCATAAAGAAACTAAACTTGTCTTAATAAGATTAAGATGGTTCTAAATTGGAGACTTTAGACAGGTGGGGTAAAAGAGAGGGAATTGACTGAGCAAGCAGATGCTTAACACTTCTAACTGAGGCACTAGTGCCCATGTAGTACCTGTAGATAGTGTCTCTTCCTAAAGCTGAGGACGATATAAATGGCCTGGTAGAGGACATAGGAAAGGGTAAAAAAAGAAGTCATGATTGTTTGGAGCAGGTAATTGTCAAATTTTAATTTTGCTTTTAGCGTTGCAGTGCCTGGCAAGCCTGGAATTTCAGTGAGCTCAGGTGTGTGAGTCAGTGGTGCAGTTTTGAGTCAGGTTCTGAGAGTCCTTTAAGCATACTCTGGAAATAAAGTCTCAGAAACACATTCATATAGAGATGCATCAAACAGACTGAAATGATGGTGTATGAAAGAGTTTATGTCTTAAGGATGCTTTTGGTTTCTGTCTCAGGTGTTAGAAGATAATGACTATGGCCGTGCAGTGGACTGGTGGGGATTAGGAGTTGTCATGTATGAGATGATGTGTGGAAGATTACCCTTCTACAACCAAGATCATGAGAAACTATTTGAACTGATATTAATGGAGGACATAAAATTTCCTCGAACTCTATCTGCAGATGCAAAATCGTTATTATCAGGTCTACTGATAAAGGATCCAAATAAACGGTAAGTGAAAATAATTGGCTACACAGGCATAATAAATGCTCTAATTGTGCTGGCTAATGTAAAAATGGGTCTGTGGTGCCTGGTCTTCCTGGCTGAATGAGCTGTCAATCACAGGACAGGGTTGTACACAGCCCTACAGTTTCAGATTTCCATTTTTTCAGTCCAGAAGTAATTTACAACATGAATTTAACCAGCAAAAGGAAGAAAAGCTTGTGGAAGACCAACTTTTTAAACCATTCACAGCAAACACAGGGATCTCTTCAGGTTAAGAGTGTGCACTGGAACAAAGGGAAAGATCTCAATTGTTTTTCCCAGTATAACTTAACCCTGAGTTCACCGCAGTTTCTCATGGAGACTGTAGCACTTGTTCCTGGTGATGGTGATGGCAGGAGAGGTGCATAGGCAGCCACAGCTACATTTATTAGGGCACATAAATAAATCACATGTTAGACCATTAAACTAGTAATTTGTTAAAGAATACAACTGGAGTGAAATTTAAAGGAGCAGTTTGAAAGCAAGTGTCACCCAGCTGCTGTCTGTGCCCTGCCTGTGGTGGGCTTTTCCCTCTGGAATAGTTGCTCAGGAGAGCCATTTTCCAGTGGCTCCAGTGCTGGACCAGCAGTGTCCAGTCTTCCGTGGCTCCAAAATCCCTGACTTTGTAAATCAGTGGGATTTGTCTGTAGGTACCTTTTTCCTCCCCAATATCTTTGTCATTCTTGTGAGGCTCTTGGCATGTTTTTGGGGCAGCAGATTTTGTCTGCCTGTTCTCTAGTCCTCCTTCAGCTGCTGCTTGTTCTCAAGAAGTTTTGAGTCGTGGGCATTGCCTGCAGGCACTCAGGGCAGGACTGGTTTCTCCAAGGGATTTGCCAGGATGCAGCCAAGTGCAGCAGGCAGGACAGAAGAAGTGATCAGCTTGTCTGCTCCAGCTCAACTTATCTGTGCAGGAATAGCAAACTGTGACCAGCCAGCCACATACAGGCAGAGTAGAGTAAAACTGTGTTTCTGTAGCAACTCCTAATGCTTTTGAACCTCCAAACAATCTGACCCATCAAATATATTAACCTTTAGAATTGGAAAGATGCTTCCTTGTAAATTATCTTTGCAGACAGTAGTGTTCATTACAGACTTATATTTAGAAGCTTATTTATATTCAAGTACTTGTGCTAGTTAATGCTAAATAGGGGAGGAACAGAGATTAACACAACTCAGCCTTTTTGTGAGCAGCTAGAAGATATTGAGAGAAGTCTGGGGAATGAAGGCTAGCTGCCATGTTTTGCCAAGATGTAGAGAATTTTACAATGAGTAGTTGAGAAACAAGGAGGAATACAGCTTGAAAATTAGAATAACTTGACACTCAGTTATTGCAAGACTGACGTAGTAGTCCAGAATATTTTTGAAATTTGGCAGCAGGGTAATACCAAAACAGACTTTTTTCTTGGTTGTGGAAATTATTCCTCTGTACAATAAATGCTTTAGAAATGAATTTATCTTACTTAAATGCTTGCCTTTAGAATTTGTCTTTATATCTTTAGCAGTTCTTTTTAATGAAACACACACTGTTTTTGTCACTCTTCTTGTTAACATTTAGCACGTATGGTCTGCTTATTTAGTTAGGAGGAGCTTTTTTTCTGCTGCATCTTCCTTCTGTTAGGGCAGTAGGATCCCAAGTCTCAGGGAGAAGTTAGATGAGAGCTGAGCAGTCCTGAAGTCAATGTGCTGTTGAGAAAGACAGAGGTTCCCATCCTTGGATGTGGGGTTATTTCTCAAGCAACAACAGCAGCTCAAGAGAGCTCACTCAGCTTGTCAAGTCAAAGTGGGCTTGCTAATGCAACAAGAAATGGCCAGTTCTCTCTTCTATTCTCATGTCAGGGTTAGTTTTTCTCTAGGTTAGGGAGCTGATTCTGCTCACAGTCATCAAGTGGGAATGATGCTGTAGATGCAAGTGAGAGAAGAGAGGTATGGTCACTCCTCTCTTGGCAGCAGTGACCCCTTCTGTGAGCTCAAACCACCTTGGGCAAGTTCACCCAAAGTAGGTGAAATTCACCTCCTAAGATGATTCACCAGACAGAGTCTGGCTTTGGCAAGCTATGGGCCACAGTGAGTAGTGTGGTTATTTACAATGGCCTTTAAATAACCTTCTCAGCAGGCCTACAATTTATTAATTTATACTAATTGACTCAGATTGAGACTATTTTATGGTAATTGGTTAATTGTTACAGCACCCAGATGCAACAGCAGTGAACACTGTATAATAATGATGCACAAGTCATTACTGAGTCAGTGCCCGGCACGTCTTTGGCAAAATTTTATATCAGCATTATTGGGTTGGTTTGGATTTTAATAGTGCCAGGACATTAGCTGGGCTTTCAAGCAAACTAAACTTAAGTATGTTTTTAAAATTAATGAATTACTAAAAAAGCTCATCATGGATGGTGACAAACACTGTAGTTGGAATAATCAAAAAGAACAGACCATGGCATGGGTACTTTCGCTATCACGAATTCTCTCGAGATCGCCAGAATTCATGTTAAACAGGTGAAATCTTCAAATTAGTTGTGTGAGAATTGTCCCCAGATAGTCAAAAAGAAATGGTCACTTTTCCAACCATAGCAATAATTTGATCTCCCTATAAAAGTTTAATATGTGTTTTTTTCCCCTCACTCTCTTTAGACTTGGTGGAGGCCCAGATGATGCCAAGGAAATCATGCGTCACAGTTTCTTTGCTGGAGTAAACTGGCAAGATGTATATGATAAAAAGGTATGTCTTTGTATGGCATTGAATAATCTGGCTTCTGCAAGGTGGTTTCAATGATAGTCATAGACTGCTATTCTCTGCAGTTAGTAATTTTTTTTCTTTGCAACCTTTTTTGTGTTAATACAACTGAATAATTATTCTGAACAAGGTATACTTACCTAATCTTTGTGTTTTCAGTAATAATTTGTCAGTTCACCAGAAGTAAATTTTGCAAACCAACCTAAACCTTTTATTATGTTAATGTCCAAATTTTTCCCTTTTCTTTTCTCTTCCTGGGCTTTCAAGAGAAAAGTACATGTATGACTCAAGATAATGGGAAAAATGTAATATAGTTTATCTTGAATTGTCATTTTATTTCTGCCTTCTAGTGAAAAGTTGTTTTATGAAGAAGGGAAATTAAGTGATTGTAGCAAAAGTATACTTTCTGATTGTTTGTGTATAAGAAGAAACCTTTTTCAAACTTAAAGAGCTATCTAGGAGAATTAAAATAGTGTTAAAACACTGAGCCAAAACAGCTTGTGGAGAAAGCAAGTGCTGGGAATTCAAATGGAAAAGTTTTCTCCAAACCCAGTCCTGTTCCTGTATTGATCAACACTTTGAGAATGATTTTAGAAAATGAATTTATCTTACTTGGGAATGAAACTCAATTCAACTTCAGTTGTTTTATATACAGAAACTGATTTTATCTCAGTATTTCTGTAAGAATTTACTTGTTGCTATAAACCCTTTCTATTTTGATAAAGACTTTTCTTTTTTCCCCAACTGTTTTACATTGTTAATCTGCCAGTTGAGCTGCGTAATTTTAAAAGATAGTTTTTTCTCCTTTTTTTCTTGCTTTGTTCAAATAAAAGGAAAATGGAAGACATACGACTGAGCAGAATATGTTTATGCTACAATGTCAATGATACAAACTGTTTTTTCAGTTGTTGTTGAACTGGAATTTTAAAAATGTGTGGTTGTTGGTGTGGTAACTTCTCTGACAAATACCGGAATTGAAATGAAAGCCTGTATATGATGATACAAAATATGGTACTCTGAAATTACTTGATACAAGTGTGATTTTTCCCTGGCAGTATCACAAGGTTTCAAGAAACTCTACAATAAATAATCAGAGCAAGTATATTAATCAGGTTACTTTATGAGCTCAACCACTGGTTGGTTCTGTAAGGACATTGTAGAGAAGCACTGTGAGGATAAAATCTAAAAATACAAGTTGAGGACCTTTCTGAAGTAAAAAAAAAACAAAAACCAACACTAAAATTAATAAGGTTGCAATGTACTAGGAGTGGGTGAGGGAAAAAAAAACCCTGTTACATTATTCTTGCTCCCTTGAAAAAGATTTCTTAATTATCTTACATTAGAAATAGAACTTTCAATTCTACACTTTGTTCAGCATCTTATTTAGTTAAGAATATATAGATTCTGTTAATTGCTTGTGCTTTGATTCTTTCCAAATGAGCATGGCAAATGTGTTTCAGTCAAGATCTTTTTTTGAGCTATTAAAATAAAAGGAGGCATTTTGCAGATTAAAAAAATATATATATAATTATATAAAAATATATAAATGCCAGCACTTTGGTTTTATGCTTGTGGAAGTAGATATTGGCTTATTGGAGTATCATAACTAGAGAAACTCTAGTTATTCTTTGTTTACTGTGGACACTCTTGCTTTGAGAAACTAAATTTGCCAGTGAAATATCAACTGAATTTCCTCAGTTGGACAGTTCACTTCAAGGGTCATAAGAATTGCTTCTGTGCAGCATTAGCACACAGTGTGTCCTTTATGGAAAAACAAGTCATGAAAATGACTTCTGACAGTCTGCTTTTCTGTTTAATTAAAAATAGTTTTGTTCCTATTTGTTCCTTGCAAAGCTGTTTGCCTGAAAAATATCCATTGTTCCTTCTGCACACACAGTCTTACACTCTGCAGACTTCAGAGCTGTGCTCTGAAATATAATCCTCAAACATAATAATAAGGTTAATGAACTTTCCTCAAATATGTTCATTAGAATGCTTACATGAATATTTTTGAGGTATTTTGGTATTCTAAAATAACTCGAAGAATCAAATAAATTTGATTTTTAAATAGGTTTATTCTAGGCTTGCCTCTGTTGCTGTTTGTTGTTGGATGTAGAGTCTTCAGCAGTAGGGTCACTTAATGAAATTGATAGTGGATATAATTATTTGCATAGTAAAAATATTTCACAGTAATTTTGCCTGAGTTTTAAGCACCATGGCACTATAATTTTCTGGCTGCATTTCAGGAGTGTGTTTCTGTTAGAAATGAAAGAACTGAAGTTCACTCTCAGAGTAATGGAAACCAAAAAATCATGTGGATTCTGAGTAGTTGCTGGGTGATAGCTTTGTACATGTGCACACTGTGCTCCTGTGCCTCTAATTTTATCTTTTTACTAGGTTATCACTTTCCTGGTGTGATTAGAAACAGAATTACATATCTCTAAACTATTTCATGTATTTCATGTGACAGACCACAGCTCTGTCAGGTCAAACAGATCCAAATGGTCAAATGGAATTATTCAGTTTCTGATACTGCTAGCTAGATAACCTAATTTGGTACTACATAATGATAAAAAAATATTGTATGGCACACTGGAGCAGAGAAGGTCGTTGCCTTTAAATGAAAAATGTATAGTAGTTAGCATTTGTGATCTGATGTATTTATTTTTGGCAGAAAAACCATGAGGGCATATGAAAGAGAGCAGCCTGTGCCAGGTTCTTCCTGTGATCATCTCAGCCCTGATGAGTTTTTATCTCTCTGCCTGAGTATGAGAAATTGAATAGTTTGGCAAACTCTGAAGACTTCAAAAGCCCATGTACTAAATAAAATACTTGTTTTATTTTTAGGTAGAATCAGGAAGCTGTTTGAAATTTTTCTGTTTCTCATGTAAGAATTGCTTTAGCAGATTTTTATTTGGGTAGCAGACATACACTAAAGTTGTCACATGATCTGTTTAGGGTCTTTCACTGAACAAAAAGCACTTGGGCATTACTTAAAAGGTCAAAATTTGGGTATGTGTTCAGGCTTGCAGCTTGAAGCACTCAGTAGCCTCATGGCAAAGGAGGTCCAGACCTTTTAGTGAAGTCTGGTTTTCCTCCTGCATATGATATGGATGAAAGATGGGAGAAACCATGTGGAAATTTGGGTTGAGATGCATGTTCTGATTTGTGGTGATACCTCCAATTGTCTCTGAAGAAAATTAGGAAGTGCCAGCAAATGAATCTGTTGGGATTCAAGGGAGCAGGGACAAATGGCAGCAGTGGTTGAAGGGGGAGCCTGGCTTTGATGCAGGAGGTGCTTTTGGAGGCACCTGTCCTGCTGTGAAGGCAGTGACTTCTGACAGCTGCAAGAAGCTGTTCCTCACCCTTCAGCTGTGGCTGCCTTGGTTTACTCAAGACACAAACCCAGCAAATGATGAAATCCCATGATCCAAGTCCTGGGTTCAGGCCTGGCAAAATCTGCAGTAAAACTATGATCTGAAATCACATTTAAGTACTTCTGTGTATCAGATTGTGCAGGGAGAGGGTGGGAGGTAAATAGGAAAGCACCACCATTTGGTTTTAGGTTGTTGCTAATTAAATCAAACTATTTTCAGACAATGATCTGCACTGCCACAAAACCTGCAGAAGTTACCCTCGTTGGTTGCTTTTGTGTTGCTGCCATGTGAAGTTGTAAAAAGATCAGACAACATCTAACCAGTCTGATACCTTAAACTAAATGGGCAGACCTAGATGTTGATTGCCACCCTTCTCCCAGCTGCTTGAATTTACAGGGAGGAGAGTATACATAAGCGTGTCTGATTTTGAAACTTGTGTTACTGGGGGTTTGTGGTTTCACTCTGTCCATGGTAACAGCATTGTGTCACTTGGGAAACAGTTTATCCATGGATAAACCTCCCTGCTGAAGCCAGTTTTCCTGTGGACTTGTGTCCTTCCACTACTGAAATTCCAGCTCCTTGTCCTCCCCCTGCCCAGGACCACCACATGCAGGGTCCGTGGGGAATTCCCAATTCCCAGCTGTGCTGTGGCTGCTGCCTTTGGGGCCATGGATGGGGAGGAACCCATCCCTGCAGGAATGCTACTGACTGTCTTGAAGCTCAGCTCAAATGACTTTTCCCCCAGGCAGAAACTCTTGTTTGAGGGGCATGGACAGATGTTCCTCCCATCTCTTCAGCGCAACTCAGCTGCAGTCTGTTGGTTGATGGGATTCTTACAGTAGTGGAATGGCCTGAAGTGGTATCAGGGGAGGTTTAGGGTGGTTATTAGGAAAAGGTTCTGCACCCAGAGGGTGGTTGGGCACTGGAGCAGCCTCCCAGGGATGTGGCCACAGTACCAGCCTGGCAGAGCTCAAGAAATCTTTGAACAGCACTCTCAGGCACATGGTGTGACACTTGGGAATGGAGAATGGTATGGTGCAGGGCTGGGACTTGTATGTGATGATCTTTGTGGGTCCCTTCCAAGTCAGCATATTCTGCAATTCTCTGAAAATTCCCTTTAAATTAAAAGGAGAAGAAAAATCAGATTGATGTTAAGCATCATACATTTCATTTGGCAGATTGAGTGTATCATGGTTACTTTGAGGTAGCTTCAGCCACTTCATGTACAACACTAAGACAAGTGATTCCTGGTAAATGATCTTTGAACAAATAGTGTTGCATGTTTTCTCTCATACTGAAGTATTTATGTAGTTGTTCACTAAGTGGGAGAAAGTTCAAGGTGTAGAATCAAGCCTGTGCATTTCCGTGTACCTACAACAATCAAATACTGTGCCTGCCCCTTTCCTTCCTCTAGGAGATGAGTGTCAAATTTTCCAGGACTTGAACTGTGGAGAAACTGTGGCGTTTCTCACACACTGCTCTTGATGGATGCCAAATGGAAATGCCATTCACTGGAGATAATGAAGACACTAAGAATTTGGTATTGCTTCTGCTGTCATTTCATCAAGCCTTTGAAATGGCCAGGGCAGATTCAGCTTGACAGATGGATATGAAATTGGATTTTTGTCTTGAACACAAACTCTTAAAGTCACTTAACTCACACTGAGTTTAGACTTTTATTTCTTTATTTGTACAGACACATGCATATCTATGCATATATGTGTGTGTAATGCATAAACCCAGAAAATCTGTATTTCTGCTCCATAGAGTAGATTGTCAGGAGGTGCAGTTCCCTGTCTGGTTGGAGAATTTTTCTGAACTGAGGCCACTAAAGAAAATTATCCCATACTAGAGTTTGGCAGCCATGACCAAGCATTGCAATTCTCTTGCAGACTGACAAGGCCTGTGCTTAACAAAAGCTTATCTTACTCCTTTTGGACACAGGTTACTGGATGTGCCTTCCACATCCCTCTTGGTCTTCATGCCAGAAATGAGGAATAGCTGTGCATGTGGATACTATTTCCTTATGCACCAAATGTGGTATTTTTGGGATCCCCCTTTGAGGGAAGGAATGATGAATCTGACTCCATGTTCTTAGAATGCTAATTTATTATTTTGTGATATTATATTATGTTAAAGAATGCTATACTAAAACTATACTAAAGAATAGAGAAAGGATACTTACTGGAGGCTTAACAAGATACTAATGAAAAACTTGTGACTCTCTCCAGAGCCCTGACACAGCTGGACCACGATTGGTCATTAAATCAAAACAATTCACATGTCGGATAAACAATTTCCAACCATATTCCAAAACAGCAAAACACAGGAGAAGCAAATGAAATAATATTGTTTTCCTTTTTCTCTGAGGCTTCTCAGCTTCCCAGGAGAGAAATCCTGGGCAAAGAGGATTTTTCAGAAAATATGATGGTGACACACCAAATGTGAAATGTTGCAGGCTGTAGAGTGGTATCTTCATGTTGTGGTCATCAGAGTAGTTGTTGATGTTGGGTGTCTCAATCTTTGTCATTAAACCTCAGCTTCAGTCTTCCTTGGGATGTATGTGGAAGCTTCTGGAGTGTCACTCTAAGGGTTTATCTCTGCAGCATTTGCACCTTATTTGTCTTTCTAATGGTTTCAGCTGAAATTTGTGGACATTTTGCTTTCTGTTTTTAAATGAAGTTTGACAACTAATGGACAAAGGAGAACACCCCTCCAGAAAGATGATTGCCAAGAATTTACTTGGGGAAGGGGAGGTGTGCCTTTGGTGTTAGCTCAGGAGTCTGGGGTGGGATGTCCACAAGACTTTAGCCCCAGTTGGTTTGGTGAGGTAGAACTGATGGAAAGGAGCAATCCCCTGTTCTCTGTGCACACAGCTGTGTGGGAGGTGGAGGTGATGCTGTGAGGGAAAGAGGCAAAGTGTATGGGAAGATTGAAGAAACCTTTCTGCTACTTCTGTTCAGCTGTATCTGTGCTTCTTAACCTCAGCTGCTGCTTCCCCTTTTCCAAAGGTTTTAGGGGATGGTTGATGTACATAAGGCACAGCCTGGATAAAAGCCAGTGTATGCTGTTGTGGAGAGCCACATGGCTGGAGAGTTTGTTTTTGCAGTCAGTGAAGTTTCCAAATGGCTTTAATGTCCAGGATATGAAAGATACTGCTGTGAGATAGATGAATCCTAAAACACCATTGATATAAATTTGCATCAAGTCTCTCCCTTTTAGTTACAGCCTGGAGTTTCATGTCTTCTACTTGTTTCACTTCCCCAGACAGCTGAACTTCTCTCATCAGTGCAATTTCCATCAGCTGACTTATTGGATGTTATTGATGCAGAGTTTTCTAGTAAGCCTAGCTGCTGAGCATTGAATCAAAGCACTAATTTAATGAGTTTTGTTGTAATGGTGCTTTTCATACCTGATTAAAATTACTGTAATTATTTGTTCCTTAAGAGTCACTTAGCACTGTGCTTCTCTTCCTAAAATAATGTTTTCAAAGTATTTTCCATAACCATTACTATTTCAGGCAGATGGAGAGAACAAGGGAACGATTTAAAGTCATAGTGAGGCTTGTTCATCTCAGTGGATTCAAAAAAAAAAACCCAGATCCCCGAACAAACCAGTAGTTAGCCTGTAAGTTTTTGAGAAAGAAACTTGTCATCTAATGCATTTTCCTTTTCCTCTCCAGCAGCACACCCATACATATATGACTGCCTATAGTGATCTTACCTTGCCATACTTTTTGTGTTTCATTAACTACTTCAAGCTGACTCACAGTTGTTATAGAACAACTATAGAGGGGGTTCACTCCTTCTCTTTGCAAAGCAGTTGTAGCATGAAAGGTCTCAGGTGTACTTCACAGCAGGAGTACTTTGTTGTACTGTAAATGTGTGCTGCACCATTGAAAAGACATTGCTTCTTGTCCTTGACTTGAAAAAAAAGAAAATTTTCCCTTGGCTTCTATTATCATTATTTTAAAATGAAAAGTTTTATTTTTCTATGAAATAGCATTTTCTGTTTCTGACCAGTAAAAAGCATTCCAATCAGAGAAGTAGTAAAATTGTTATAACCAGGTTATGGTATACATTTTTTTCATACTGAATTTATTGCTTAGATCTGTCAAAGCATTTTTTTAAAGGATGTGATGGACACTTGGCCTTGACTAGAATACATTACTTGGTTTCCTGTAATCTTGTGTAGGCATTTTTGTTTGTTTGTTTGTGCGTTGTTTTTTGTGGGCTTTTTTCTGTGTTTTTTTGGTTTGGTTCGGGTTGTTTTTTCTTTTTTTTTTTTTTTTTTTTCTGTGTTTTTGCTTGGTGTTTTCAGCTTTTTGGGGTTTTTTTGAATGTTCTTTCCTCAGATAGAAAAATGGGAATAAAATGGCAGTGTGGGATGTTGCACTGGCATAAGTCTGTTTTTAGGAATTGTGTGGCTGCATTGATGGAAAGATGTACAACTTTGGAAATCTGCTTTAATAGTGCAGAATTGTTCGGGATAGCCTGGGTGCATATAAAAATACTTTTCAAAAAGTGAAGGAATCTGTGCAATAAAATAGAATACTTTGTTTATAAACATTGGATGAAACTTGATTTATACCTGGAAAATTCTTCTCATGTTGTGCTTATATATGTTAGCTCCTTAAGGATTTATTCTGCAACTTTTACTACGAAATACCTCCCTGCTGTTGCATGTTTTCCATACAGGACAATGTAAGGGAAAGCTGAGCTTAGTTTTGTAAAAGTATCAATCAGATTTATTGTACTCTGTTAAGTATATGAAGTGATAGATTTGGTTTTGCTTAATAATTGCTTGCACTGTTACTGAAGATCTGGATCAGATAAAATCAGTCTCGGTATGTACAGATCATCTGTGCATCTAGAACATAGAACTTGGGAAGAGGAGGGAGGGAGTTAGCAGCAGCTCCTCCTTTGCTGTGGGGCAAATGACCAAGTAAATTGTTTGGTGTTAGTGTTCTGGAGCTGAGGAGAGAGAGAACGTGAAACTGGTGAAAACCCCATGCCAGGTGATAATACCAGTGAGCCAGGATATAACCTGTTGTATTGAAAGGAAAATCAATTACACTTATTCTCAGGGCATATGAGAAGATAGCACCAAGGGGCTCCCAGGTACAAACAAGAACATTGTCACATCACATACACACACACATACACACACACAACTTGCAGTGTCATACATACAAAACTGCTGTACTGTTTTTGGACTGGCAGCATGCAGTGTGATATTCCATCCTCAGTGTGCCTTCCAGTAAAAATTGATCAGCAGTTCTTTTGGTAGAGAAGGTGGATACTGAAGCTGGGTCAAAAGAGGGGCAAGGGAGTCCTGCCTGCAGGCTGAGGGCGGCTGCCAGTGATTTGCTGTTGGGAAATCCCACACTGTTCTGTGAAAGCAGTAGGCAGGTTTAGATACAGCAACTCCCTTAAGCCTCATCTGGCCTTTTTTCAAATGTAAAATTTATTTTCATATCATGTAATATCTTTCAATAATAAGCTCAGATGAAGGCCTTCCCACTGAAAATAAAACCCCCAAACCATGCTTATTATGCTGTGTAGTCTTTTTCTTCTTAGCTGTTTATATCACCCAGTTGTGGTGAAGTATCTTGAGATGCCTTTGCCTGACAGCTATGTGGGTAATTAAATTGGCCTGAAGAGTTTCTAGGTAATTATCTTTATGCAGCTCAATTTATCTGCAAGTCATGTGAGAGTGATACTTGGAATTTAGCTTTGTTGTGCCATTGATTGGATTCTGAACTGGTATTTTTGGGATTGACTCAAATGGGTTTTATCTCTTACTGGAAGTTAGAGACTCAGCTGCCTCTCCACAGACCTATTTGTTTGATTTGGGGTAGAGAAAAAGAACTTACTTGTTTTCCTGATAGTAATTTGGCTGCTTTGAGATTTAGTAATTTTGTATTTTTTCTTGGTGCCTTTCAGCTTGTACCTCCTTTTAAACCTCAAGTGACATCTGAGACAGACACCAGGTATTTTGATGAAGAATTTACAGCTCAGACTATTACAATAACACCGCCTGAAAAATGTAAGTCAGAAAAAATGCATAAGCATGATGTAACAATAATGTTTCTAATAAAGCAGTGTGTAAGGTTTTTTCTGTTTGAATAGAAGAGCTGTTCTCAGTGTTATTAATAAAAGTTTTCATATGGAAGTGTGTGAGAGTAACTCTCAATGACAGCTTTATTTTGAAGATGCAATAATTACAAAGCTTAGAATATTAGATCACTCTGAGTTGGGTTTTGGGGGCATTTTTGGTGTGGGCATTCTTGTGTTGATTCTGTTTGGAATTTTTTTCATTTGTTTATTGATTTGGGGGGTTGTTTGTTTGTTTTTAAATAAAAGAAGACACCAGCTTCAAGTGGTTACTGGCTGGCAATCAAGGTCCCTGTTCAGCAAAGTAATTGGAACACAGACCCTTCTTTAAGCATGTGGACAGTGCTGGTGTCTTCAGTGGGCTGTGTAGCTTTAGTAAGATGGACATATTTTGAAATACTTTGAGGACTATGATTTGAAAAAAATCAATTACGTGAAAATTAAATATCCTAAAGTCCCATGCTTCAACAGAGCTCTTAAAGAAGGTGTTAATGTGGATGTAACCATGGCACTGGATCTTGCAAAATTTCTTTATTGGAGGGAATGTGATTTCACCATGGTTTGTGTTTTTGTCATGTTGAGTTACATACAAGAATCATGATCTGATCAGCCTAGCCAGGGCTTTACAGGTATTTACTAAGTAACATCTTTCTCCTGAGTTCTTAAAGAATTTTCTTTCTAAATGGGGATATTTGATGGTCTTGTTTGTTTTTTTATATTGGAGGCTGAAAAAGGAAGGTCACAAAAGTAAAGGCTTAGTTATGGTTGCTTAACCTTTCATAAAGCAATCTCATTTTCTGATGTTTTAGAACTCCCAGGTTAGCTGCAGTTTTCTGTTCATATATAGATCTAGAGTATTTTTTTGATTTTGCGTTTTAGTGTCTGAACACAATCACAGAAACATAGAGGGGTTTGAGTTGGAAGGGACCATAAAGTTCATCTGGTTCCAATCCTCCTGCCTTGGGCAGGGGCACCTTCCACTAAACCATGTTGCTCACAGTCCATAATTTGAGTGATTTTAAGTCTTTCTGCTGTGAAAAAAGAACATTTTCTTCTCCTGTCTATCTTGATAAGAATTTGTTCATCTTTGTAACTTGAACAATTTTACGAATTGAATATATGAATATTTTACGAATATTTGGATTAATTTGGGTTCCATTGATTCAATATTAGACCAGGATTAACTCTAGCTTTTATGTGGAGAATATATGAAAATGCAGAGGACACAAAATTCTGAAAGGCTGCATATAAATACATTGTTAGAATAACAGTCTCAGCAAGAGTCTTTAAGAATAAGCACTGTTAAAAAGCCATGTGAGAATGTACATCCAAATTCTCAGAGTTAGGTAACATCTGGTGCCTGCTTTCCATTGGCACTGGAGGAATTATGTAAATAAAAATATTTATGAATTTGGCTTATTCTGTATTTCTTCTGATCCCAGTAAATACTGTAAAAATAAATAGTTTACTAAAAATAATAGGTAATAATTGAAACACATAGATCCTGTGTGAATTGTTCATTTTTCCTTTTAACTCCCTTTGAAATGGAGGAATATTTAAGTATATCTACAGTAAAACTATAATTTCCTGAACTCAGCTCAAGAAATGATGGAAACTGGCTGACTCAATTGGCACTTGGCTTCTGCACTGCCAGAGGTTGGGTGTGCTGGCATGTTGGGATTAGCCTACAAGGGGTAGTTGTGGTTGAAGTTCTCAGGTGATAGTCAGAATAAAATGAACCAAACAATCAACCTGAAATAAATGGTGACTTCTGGGCATGCTGTCCTTTCAGTGAGTATCGTCCTCCTGTGTGAACGTAAGCTTATGAGTTTAACTGAAGTCTTACTTTAACTTGAGCCTTTAACCTAAGCATTGAACCCTGAAAGATCTACTGCATATCAGGTGAATAATAAAATTTTATTGCAAATGTACTGATGTTTTGAACTTCTTCCTTAACACAGATGACGAGGATGGTATGGACTGCATGGACAATGAGAGGCGGCCGCATTTCCCCCAGTTTTCCTACTCTGCAAGTGGACGAGAGTAACTCTTTTGTTCTGCTGCTTCACTGTCATCTTAGGTTTATCAGTGAAAATGATTCCTGAACATCACCACCAGTACTAGATACTACTAAGATAGCAGGGGCACTTTCAGAGACCATTCCAAATTGAACAAGTTTCTTTCCCAAACCTGCCTAAAATCCGTTCTGGTTTTGCATGACATATGAGATTCTCTCTACTCCGCTGTCCTGCTGTTGCTGCTGCCCACAGTCTCAGTATAATAGCAACATCAAGAAGTTACTAACAGTTTCTTTGAAGGTAAATGACTTAACTTCAGCATTGTACACTTTGTGAACAAGTAGTCATCTATTTTTCCTCACAGTGGAGGCTAAACAAAAGCCATGTCGGTCCAGCTTATCTTCTTCCAGAAGATGAATCAAAATTGTAATTAGTCTAAACAGACCAGGCGATAACATTTTCTTGCATCTGTTTGTGCTGGTTAGAATGAGGAAACGTAGAGGTGGTGATGTACATATGCAAGGTTTCTGTTAGGCATATCATTACTTGAAGCAGGTCTCTGTCATTAACATCTGGCTGGAATTTGTTTGGGAAATGTTTGAGAGAAGGACTTAAATTGTTGATATATATAAATATATATATATATATATTATTTTTTAATTACTGTTGGATACTACAGAAGAAGCAGAAGGGCTGGGCTCACCCAGCCTGCCACTTAGAACTTCCAGGTTCATGTGCAATCATGGAGAATTGAACATTATACATGCAAGAAATGAAGGCATAAAAGCAGCAGTTGAAGTTGTTCAAGGGGTTTTATAATTTGCACCAGATAACATCTTTTTCATGCTTTTCTCTTTCATGATATGCATCACCTCTGATGGCTGAAGAATGTAGACAGGCATAATGGTATTGCTTTTCACCAAAATGTGTGCACCAAGGTAAACAGGTGTTTGCCTTACTTGTTTTTGAGTTTGTGAATTAGCTTCCTCTCCAGGTGTTTAACTCTGATTTTTTTTTAATTTTTTTTTTTTTTTTGGTTATACTGCGGTAGTATTTATTTTTAAAGATAAGGTTTGTATATGTCGTGTTTGCAAATGCTGCTACATCTTAGAACAGGCTAATAGCAGTTAATTTTGTAATATATGGAAGGACTGTACAAGCTGAAGGGAATAATGCACTTTTCTCCCATGTGGAAATTTTAACAAGGCTCTGAAATTGTACATACTGCTTAGAACCAGATTTTTGTGAATGAAATACTGTCTTTTAACAGTTTGGCAGTGGAGGTGAGGATTTCCAACCTCATGTGCCAAAGGGTTAAAAGTGAACAGACAAAAAAGCTACATCTTGTGCTCCATTTACGATAAACATAATGCAAAAGCCTGGCAGCACAAGAGAAAATGTCTGTTCTATATGAAGGAATTGCATTTGAACAACAAGACCATAGTGATTACAAGAAAAGCACTTTATTTTAACAATTAAAATAGTAAATTTCTGGGATCAGCCGTTCTCAAGGAAGATTTGCCCTCAACCAAAAGAGTCCTAAAACCCAGGAGGTTATGTGTAACCGTGGTACCTGATTGACTGAATTTCAAACATCACAGCAAATGCTCCACTGGTAGGGAAACGTCTTTCCATTTCCGAAGATCTGTATCTAATAGAACATGTGCATAAACTTTAGCTTTGATCTTCAGCAATGATAATCTTAATAATAAACCCTTTGGTGCTAGGAGCTGGGGCGTGACGTGGCGCAGCGGCAGAGCGCGCGCAGCCTTGCAGGCGACATCGGGAACCCCCGACTCCGTGGGATTATCATTGGAAGTATCTCTGCTTTCAGCTCTTGTTAGCTCCCACAAAGACTGTGATATTGCAGAGTATTCCTGGTTGTGTTGTGTGAGTGAGTAGATGAGTCTGAGAGATGTTCCTACACAGATGCCTTAGCCTCTTGATGTGGAAAGTTGAGTGCCCAAGCATGAAGCCCACTGCTGGCAGTGCATGTGCTGGGATGGTCAAGGGGTAGACGGGCATTTTAGCAAGGCAGCTAAAGATGCAGAGTAATTTAGACAATTTTTCATGTTTAGTGTTTTATCTTTAGTAATGGATAATCAGATAGAAATATATCATGATGTATACTCTAACTGCATAGGATTTCATTATGTCACCCCGTAACACTAAAGATGTGTAGATGTTGTCCCTGTGCGGAGAGAGAGGAGAGCAGCAAATGCATTGCAGGTCTGGTGGTGTAGAGGTGTCTACACCGCCACAGTGAGTGAGTGACTGAAATAACCAAGTACTTAACAGAAGGGCATTAATTAGTTCTCTGCAAAGGTCTTGTACTCAGACTGAAACTATGGTGATTCAAAATCTGTGTTCCATGCCTGTGTTTTCTCCCCTATGTTTTCAGCTTGTCATAGCAATAAGTTTCTTGGCACAGGGCCCCTCCAGCCAGTGGCCAACTGGCTGTGGCACTGGCCAGCAGCTCCTCGTGGCAGTGATGCCCTGTGCTTTGCTCTCCATTGCGTAGCCAGGTAATGTGTGGTTTGCAGGAGGGGCCTGGCAGTGAACTATTTGTAAATCTTTTCAGACATCACTTTGCATTGCAGTGTCTGCCTTCTGAAACGTCAGTGATCCAGTTTATGATGCAGAGTCGGCAGCCACCTTGTGCTGCCCAGGCCCAGGGGATTCTGTCTCACCAGTGTTAGAAACAGATGACAGAGAAATGGACAAGCAGTGCTGAGGGAAACTTTAGAAGCTCTTCTTTTGCTGTCTGCGGTTGTGTTTTAATTTGGGCAGGAGATGGTGGCTGGTTGTCTTGGTGAGCCTTTTGAGCACAGTACATTTCAGACCTTGACTCCAGCTTGTACTGACTTCCATGACATACAGTATGCCCTCTCGTACTGCAGCCATCTCGGAGGAAATAGGTCAATTCTGTTTGGATTTTGGCAGTTTTGCACACAGCTTCGCTTTCCACACTAATCCATCTTCCAGTACATTCCTGTTGCTTAAAGAACATTTATTCCAGTATTGTTTCACCTTTTTTTTCCATCTTTACTTGCGGCTTCTTAAAGCTGACTGTTCTTGCAGGGGCCATGTGCTTCTCCTAGAGTACAAAAGTAAGGTCTTTCCTTACTAACTGCAGGGTCTATATATTACACCTCAATGTACACACTTTGCTGCTACTGTTTGTACTGTCTACAGTAGAATTTCCTTATCTTGCTCCTGGTAGTGCATTACAGGCAAGCATGAAATGTAAAGTATTTATTTAAATAAAAACCTCTAAATTGGTAATTGAATTACCTCCCTGTAGCTTTAGAGTTTGTGACATTTCTTGACCTTGCTAGTTCTTTCATTAGATCCATGCAAGATCTAGTCATATGGTTAAGGATATCAAGCAGACACGACTACGAACCCAAGAAACCGTATTACTGTTGGTCATACTTAAACTGTTTATTTCCTTAAGTATATGACCCACAAGGATGTGAAATAACTACAAGAAACTGTTTTTGTACACTGTACATCCTTAGTATTTTTACACGTATATGATAGGGATGCACATTATTTTCCTTCGTACAGACAGCTTAAATAAAGCACTATGTCAATCTGCTACTTCTGTGTTTTTTTAATGCTAATTTGTTCTGGAGGATTGTAAATATATATATATATATATGTTCAAGCTTGCCACAGAGGACGTATTTTTTTATACCTGCACATTACTATTAAATATCTTAGAGGATAAAATTCTTAAGTTGTCCTGTGTCAGAGAAAGAAAAATGGAAATGAGAAGGCTATATTGCAGATTACAAAAGATTTCTCAAGTTTTGGGTTAAATATTTACTTCATATTTTAAAGTAATTTTATATAGGTTAGATGTTTCAATCCTGAAATGCACAAAGAATTTACTTAATTTCTTCTTACAAGAAAATGTACATCATTATTTTTTTATCACTGTATATATAATGATCTGTGCATGTTTAGTTACAAGTTTTATTTGCTGTGAAGTCCTAGTGATAACTGTAACTCGCTGTGACATATTTCAGATACTGGGTGAACAGTTTCAGCTTGTAAATGATTAAGTTACAGTATTGTCAAAAAAAAGTTTTTATGACTAAGCAAAATGTATCTGTGCTTTGGACCGAGGCTGTTTCCATACAGGTGGTTCCTGTTAACTCTGTGAGATGTATGTCACTTATAAATTTGGGTTATACTTTTGAAGATATGCTCCTATCAGAACATCCACCATTTAAGTGATTTTCAGCTGATGAAATTCTTGGCCTCACATCCCACAGCTAGACAATGTTTGGGCAAGGAGATGGAAGAAAGAGAAGGTGGGATTTGCAGGGCACTGCAGAATGGGACTCTTTGAAGCCCACGGGCTGGTCCAAGGCTGTTTGAAGCAGCCAGTCTGGAGGGCTGAGTGTCTCTAAAGCAGTGGGTCATCCAGGTTTTCTGTTCTCTGACGTGAATGCTTCTCAGGAATAGAGGTGCTTCATCCAGGTCTCAGGTTTTTTCCTTTCTTTTTTCCCTCCTTTTTTTTTCCTCTCCCACCTATAACAGGAAAGAGCATCAGGGAGACAGCCATCCATTAGTTCAGTGGCATCAGGATGTCAGTGACCAGGACAAAACTGCAGCAGTGACAGGACTATCTGGTCAGGCTGCATCCCGTGTTGTGGAATCACACTCTCTGTGCTGACCTGGATTTGATCATCGGGTCTGATATTTGTAAAATTTGTAAAACCAAGCATTTAGTGCTTAAGTAGATGCAGGGGAAGGTGGGGAGGGATATGAGACAGGTAGGCCTGGTGCTGTAATTGCTACAAAGTAGAGTATCTGCTGCAGGGGAAGTTATCCCTTGTGGACTCCCAGCAACACAATAGTTGCACCTATGCCTGGGATGAGTATGAAAATCCACTTCGAGCTATATATACTGGCAGCCCAGGACCCTTTGCTGAAACCAGACTCGTACATGCACGTGGGTAGCTGGCAGTGGGGCCCTGCATGTGGCCACCAGAAGCCACCTGGTAGGTGAGGCAAGTCCAGAAAGGTTGAGGGTCCCGATGTGCTCCAGGGTCTCAGTGAAGCCTAAGTGTCAGGAATAGGTGCCCGAGTTCCTTTGCACACGTAGCCTATCGGCGCTGTCTCCTATTTAAACACAGGTTTATGCTGTGGAATAATAAAAAATAAAGTTTGCATTTCCTACATTTATAAATGTATATTCTTAACTGTGTAACCATCTATAAAGTAGTGACACTTAAAAAACTGTCAGCCTGACTACTGTGAAAAATCCTGAGTTTGACTAGAGAGGGCTTTCCTTCAGCAGCCTTTCTTCTCCCTAAAGACCTGAGGCCTTTCTCAGCACGCTCAGTGTCGTATCTGTGAAGCTGTTCAGGGAGGCGATCAGATGTGTTTGGCAGTTTTATATGGCAGGAAATTGAAATAGGGAGGAAAAATCACTTTGATGTTAGGGCTGTACCACTAATAATTCTTAAAATATAAGGGAAGGAAGGATTGTGTTCCACACCCAATGGTAATTTATTGCATGTGTTGTTACTCTTATTTTTGTTATGTTTTCCGTGTTCATGCTGGCTGAAGTAGCTTTATTGCTGGGGAACTGTTCTTTGCGCTTTTTTCACCCCCTTTACCAACTACATTGAAAACAATAGATGTAGAAACTTTTCTCTTGTGTGTGTAGCTTATCCTACACTAGATAGCAAAATACTCAGATAAATTCTTTCTAAAACAGTTGGGTATTTGAAAAGTAACCTTGAAAAACATGAGTGCACAGTCAACCAGAAAAAATGCCCTCCACCCGTACACTCCAAGTGTTCTCAGTTCAATAATTTGAAGCCAAGTTCAGCTGGTGCCCTGACTATGTGCTGGTGCAAAAGTCCAGTTTCACCACTTCAGTGTGGAGCCCATCACCTCTTGTAATGGCTCCTCTGTAATAATCAAGGGCTCTTTTCTCTTAAAGGCCTTGCTCAATGAATGTTTTAAAGGGGAACCTGACCCATGGAAATTCCTCCACATTAGATGGAATATTTCTCAATCTTCTTAGGCTTTTCTGATTAGTAAGTACTTGTCGGGGCTCTCACTTTATAGAAAAGTGACAAATATCCTGTTGAATAAAGTTCCCAGGTATATTCTGGTACTGAGTTTGTAAAAAGGAGGGCAGTGTACATGTGCAGCACTTGAAACAGCCAGCCCCCTTCTCCCTCCTCCCCCTGCACATGCTTTCCCTTGAATTCAGAAGGACAGAACAAGGAACCTAGAGAACCTATTACGTTTATTGATATTTCAGTCTGTAAATAATATAGACATGTATGTTCAATTATGAAAATAGATAAAACATTTTATAAACATTGTACAAATTATTGACATCCACACCACGTAATAGCTGTTAAAACTGGCTTGCAAGCCTAGTCTTTTCAGAAAAGTCTCAGCTGTCGTCCTAGAAAGTTTGGTAGGCTGGTAAGGCTTCAAAATATTTGTGATTCTGTAGTTAAAACCAAATAGAAACCAGCTGAAATTAGCTAGCAAGTGTGCCTGTTTTCTGTAGCGGTGTCTTTGGGTGAGCCTCAGACAAGTTTCAGCCAGGTGCAGAGCAGACCTGAAAGATAAAAGGAAGAGATGGGTAGTCTGTATGGCAGTGCCTGTGTTTCTCATTTGTGTCACGTCAGCCTGCAGGCAAGTTCTTAGAAGAGAAATAAAAACTGGTTAAGACTGCAGTAAGGCAGAGTAAACAAGTACAGTTTCAAAGCCTGCACTTCCTGTGGGCCTGCTGTCCTCGCCTCTTTCTAAGCTCAGAAATCTTACAGGTAGCAAAAACAAGAGATATCTGTTTTCTGAAAAACAGGATCTCCATGAGCTTTTGACATGGCTCCTGTTTAGCAGTAAATAAGTGAGCTCTTGTTTTGGGGCACATCCAAGATCCTGCCCTTCTCCCTTCCAAGAAGAAGATGGCAGGGTTTTGCCAGAGGGTGTTTACTGTGCAGTGTTCAGCGTGTGTCTGGGGTGGGCAGCTGTAGCAAAACAGGAAACTGTTGCCTTGGTGCCAGTAGGAAACCTCTGGTGGGAAGGCTAATTTGCAGTTTTGAAGCTCTTGCATAGCTGTTGTTTGTGCTTCCTCGGTAGCACTTAAGGACTGAATTGAGCAAGACATCAAACTATTGGAGCTGGGGGAGCTACCTCGAATTAAGCCACTGCAGTACTAAAAATTGAATTTAAGAGATGTACATGACCTCAGAAATAAAAATAAACTTTCTACTTTGGCTGGTTTTGCATTAGAAGACTGAAGGGTTTTGTTTCTTTTTCCTTCCCCCCTTGGTTGGTTAGGCTGAATTAAAGAAAATTCATGAAGCTGCAGTTCATTAAAGAATGAAAAACAGCAACATGGTGGTTTTTTCCCCCAAAATACATGCACCAACATCAACTGCTACAGTTGTGTTTGCGACCAGTGCAAGGAACTGTGGCAATGAAAAGCCTTGGGGCTTAAATTCCATTCCACTACCCTAGTGCCTGGGTAGTGACAACCAGAGGAAACATACTCTGTGCTGCAGTGACCCTCAGCATTAGAGTATGGGCAGAAGCTTAAAAGGACCCCAAAACCTCAACTCCTGAAGAAGTTGAACTCCTGGAAATTCCTGCTGTGACTGTCCTTCCACACCACAATTTCCCAGTGCTAATGCTTTGTGAGATGCAGAACCTCAGCCTGATTGATGAAGTGGGCAAATCTGACTCCAGCCTGGCCTGAACCTCTTCACAAAGCAAGCACCAATCCTGTCAGAGTCCCTGTACCCCACTGACCCAGGGCCCAAGTATTAAAGCTGTCATTTAAGGTGTGCTGTTCTCTAACAAAATGGGCACAACTGTCACATTCAGGTAATTGGTAAAGGAGTTAGTTACTGGACAGTCAGGGTAAAGGCCTTTCCAGTCTTAGTTTCTCCTCCTCCCTAGAATATTTTGGTTTTTCAGTGTACAGAACATTGCAGTACACGGTGCCCAGGTTCCTCTGGACACTCCCTCCTTAGCTCAGTGGCATCTGTTTTAAGGGGCTGGTTGGGTATTAGATGTACACATTGGAAGGGTTTGTAGGAGGGGAACTACAGATGCCTGACTGGTTTATTTTATTCCTGCCAGCAATACTGGGAGGAGAGAAGAACAACTGATTTCCTGTTTGATTAGAAAGCACTCAGGTGGCTTCAGTGCCTCAATCCTCCACTGCATGGCTGTAAAACCCAAGGTGGAACTCCCAGCAGGGCCAGGCTCAACTCCTCAGCTGGTGCCCAGCTTTGTCCAGTAGCACTGGGCGGGATGGACAGGACTCCCACAGCTGCAGATGCACAAACACTGAGGAGCTGAATGCTTGATGCCTCATGTCAGGGCAATCAGACATCAAAAAGAGGTCTATCTTTATCCCTTCCTGTCATGGTTTAACTTGCATCACTTCTCATTAAACTCCATCCAAGCAGAAGTGAAGATTTTCATCTGCTTAAAAAAACCCACAACAACATCCACCAACCCCATCTGTGGACTGTCACTGGTTGTTACAAACACCTGGCAGAGGCACCATCTTTGTGCAGTAAGACTACACTAAAACAAAAGCTCTCTCCTAATCACCAAAGCAATCTTCAGGTCTCCTGAGGTTGAAGGCCATGTAAGGATCAGCTTGAATCACTTTTGACAGCAGAGATGGATGATCTACCTGTTTGCTGGAAATAAGGCTCCCCCTTCTGTAATACATAATAAAAAATAAAAAGCAAACAGAGCACTTGGGAACACTGCTGCATTAACCATTGGGGTCTCACTGAAAATTCCTGCTGACACAAGAAAGGAAAGAAAACCCCTGCTCCAGACCAGCTGTAATCCTGACAGTGCCTCCTGCTGAGTGACTGGGGTGAGGATGGGAACACAGGCACGGGTAAGTGTGCTTTAACTTCCTTTTAGAAGGAGGGTGATCAGCTCACAGACATGCTCACTGTGACACAGACATCTGCAAGGAGGGAGGAGAGAGCTTTAGTGGCTCAGCCATACGGAGAGCACAGGGAGGGTGCAGGTTCCTGGCCAGGGAGAGACTGGCTTGCAGGAGGAGATCTTCATGGGAAGTCAGAGAAGCAGCACAGGATGACAGCCCTCGCTGGAAGTAATCCTCAAGGTCCAAATCCTACCCGTCTGTGCTCTCACTGGCTCAGCTGGCCAGCAACCCCTTCTGGCAGCTGGGGGCTGTGAGGGGATTATCCACCGGGACAAATACTGATTTCTGTCAAACTGATGGACACAAGGCAGATCCTGCAAGAGAGAGGCATCCCACCTCTCACAGATACACTCATGCCTGATGGGGGGTGCTGAGCTTTCCAGCAATCTCTGTTAAGATGTTTGTTTGCTTTCTGTGCACATTTATTTAGTATTCTCTATTTCATACCTGTGTAGGAAGGTAATTAAATATCTCTTATCCTCCTGCCTTAGGGTGAATTCCACTATACAAGAGACTTTCAAAGGTAGAAATTCCAAACCTGAGTGTTACAAAAACTTTCAAAATGAGAGGTGTAAATCCCATAATTAAAATTTGATTACCTTTACAAGGTCCTGGATATGCTCATGTAGCCTGTAAAGGAATGCAGCATTACAGCAGGATCGGGTACTTCTTTTATTATTTTTTTCCTTTAAAACCCTGAATTTTCCTTACAGTATCAAATGAGTTTTCCAAGAAAAACATGGTCTCAACACACCAGAATGTAGCTGAATTTAAAGATCCTTTTTTTTCTTTCTGCTGTCTTTCCCCCCATACAACAAACATGTAACACTAGAAATAAAAACTACAGTGGAAGTAATCTGACTTTTGAAAACAAATCCTATCAAGGCTCAGGGCTTGTTAGGTTTGTTGAGTAGGTCAGCTAGATTCAAGTAAATGATGCAATTTTAAATTCTTTAAACTTTAAAAGTTTAGTAATTCTTACAAGGCAGTAGGAAGACCTATAGCTATGCTGCACTACTGTAACATGACAGCACTGCTCCAAATACAAATATCTAGATAATGTTTCTTTCAATGTGACACTAACTGTTATGATTTATTACAAAACCATTTGCAGCCTTTCTGAAGAGATAGGGATGATTCAAGCTTCCTCAGACAGAAAATACTGGAAGCAACAAAACTAAGCATTCCAATAAAAAGACAAACACCTAGTGACTATCCAGACAAAAAGTACCTGGGTTAAATCTTAGATCTTCCAGAAGTTCCCACCTAGCTAAGAGTTGTACATCCCCCTTTCCCTTCAACTTACATATTTAGGATTTTTTTATTAAATTCTATTAGGTAAACTTGTCTTTGCTATTGAGTGCTTGTCCTGAAATTTTTAAGTGCTTAAAGAGAAAAAAAATCAAAGCACAAAAAGCTTCAACAGTTTCAAACCCAAAAATGTTTCAAACACTTCCTTCTTCCTCTTGTCTTTAAGTGTTTGCCAGATTCAACTCACATCTGCAAATAGTTTTAGTCGTGCTCTCCTTTCCTCTCCTCCCCACTCTATATATAGGATACAGAAAAAAAATACCTACTTCTGCTCATTTCTCTTTATTCATCCAGGATTTTACTTCATTCCATCTGTGTCCTGTTTGAGATCTGCATCCCATTTTTTTCCCTGAAATATGCAACTGCAGTTACTACAGGCTCATGTTCCAAGATACAATAGCATATTTAGCTTAGTGTATTTTACATCATCTTTAAAAGATTAGGTAATGGCTGAGGCTTCCACCTCCCCCCCCCACAAAAGAACCTCCAAAAACTTGGTTAATTATAAACTGTATTTTACTGTATTGTTGGACAATACAGTAAAATGTGGAATATGAGGTCACTTTAACCTTTGATCAACATTAACTATGCAGTTGTTTGGTTTCAGTATTTCTATACTAACTACAGGCAATCTTTCTGCAAAGAGCTTCCATTTATGGTGAACTGTTCTTCAGTTTCCTTAAAACAATTGTCTGATATTCCAAGCAGCTCTTTTGGGCTGAATTCCAGTTCCCAGAGAACCACTATTGCTTTAAATATCTGCACATAGATTTTTAGGGCTCATTCTGTAATAGTTTTTTCTATCATTCTTCTTTTCTGAGTGTTCTCAACTTAAAAAGTGTCCTCTGGAGCACAATTAACTTGTAATGACCATAAAGAAGGCAGCTTTTGCCAGTCAAGTATTGATAGAAATTTAATATTTGAATGATTTTTTTCCTCTTTAGTATGATTTTTGTACTTCTGCCCAACTCCATAAAAACACAATCACTTCCAGATAAAATAGATTATCAATAACAAAATCCCTGTGGACCATGTAAAGGTGATTCACATTACCAAGAGTGCTTTTCTGAAAGCAGGAATTTTAATTTATTTTGGGAACAACCACCTCCTTAACCTCTCTTATAGAGAGAATGCTATGGTTGCCCTAAAATTTGCCAGTAGTTACTACATGCTGATAACCTTACACTGTCATGAGCCACCGAGTTTGTCTACTAGAACAGGAAGTCCTGTAAAACTGAACACATGGACATGATATGGGGCTTAACAAAGTATGGATTTTATTCTCCTAGGTTAAACATTTACTGACTTCTACAGATAAAAAGCCTACAAAAGTACTTTAAAGTTCTAAGCCAATTCATGTTCTGTTTACTGTTAGGTGTGCTACTAGACTAAATTTCCTACACTGAATGTCCTTTGTTATCGTGTTAAGCAAACTCCAGCTATCCTGGGCAAACTCACAAGTTTGAAAGTTAGAAAGCATTGTAATGCTTTGTAACTGAGTAAATACACTAATTCAACCTTGAGTTTGATTATCTGATAGTTTTACTGAAAACCTCATTCTGTGCTTGTTAGTTCTCTTCCTTTTTCTAAAAAAAAAAGTGAAAGAAGAAAAAAGAAAAAACCCAGCCCCGCAGTCTTCTCCCTTATTTCCAAAGCACTTACTGGCCAAAGAACAGTGGCCAAAACAAAAAAAGCCAGAACAGCCCATAAGAAGCCACAACTTCCTAGGGACCACTGGAAGTAACAATCAGAACTGCTGGAGAAGCAGTGCTGTGATGAATGCTCAGGCAAGATTGATTGTACCTTCACCATCTCACATTTGGGTGCATGAATCACAGAATATCTTGAGTTGAAAGAGACCCACTGGGATCATCAAAGCTCAACTAGTGGCTCTGCACGGGGCAATCCCACGAGTCTTACCATGAGTGGTCATTGAGCAGCAAAAAAAAAAAAAAAAAAACTTTTAAAAATTTAAAAATAAAGATAAAAAAAATCATTAAGGATAGAAGGACTTTATTCTGACAAATGGACAAATGGCAGCAAAACCTCTAAGCAATTATCAATGTCAAGTAACTGTTTAAACATTAATGATGTTAAAGAACAGATTTCCCTTTTCTCTGAAAAAGCAACACAAAAATCTTCAGTTAAGAAGTTAAGAACTGTCATTGAGAATAACTTCTGCTTTTTTATGGTCACTTCAAAACACTTTTTTTCATTTAGTTTTGATTTAAGTGAGAGTCAGGTTCAGCTACCTTTCCAACTGTGTGAATTTTTATTTTATTTTTTATAAGGTAATGCTGTATTTAAAAGAACAAGAGCAACAAAATCCAGCAGTTGAAATCAGACTGCTGGCAGATTTCTCTGCTAAAGCTGCAGAATGTTCCCCTTAGACTTTCTTTTCTTTTGGCACAGTACCTGTGTTCTCAGAAACTGCACCTCTTCTGTAAGCAGGTGCTTCTCTTTGAAGAGCTGATTCTGTTTGTTGAGCAACTCCACTAACTGCTGGGCAGTGGCCTGGCAGTGCTTGTCAAGCTGCTGTAACCTGGAAAAGAAATAGATAAAAGGGTTGCAGAGCATCTGAAGTTGGAGTTCACGGAAAAAGCTTTGATCTTTGCACTGGTGGTGGCAGCACCCAGCGTTCAGGCTGGTGGTTGGGCTGAGACTAAAGTATTACTCCTAGGATGGGCTTTAAATGTATTTTCACACTTAAAATTAGGACTTTAAAGGTCTGCACTTTTAATTTAGAAGCTTTATGAGGACATGACAGCAAATCTGCTTTGCTGTGACATCAGTAAAGACTGCAGGAGTGCATCCCAACACCTGTAGCTAAGCAAGCTCCACACTCTAGCTGCTTCAGTAACTGTCTTCTTGAAACACACACAGTAGCCCAGATTATAAAATCAAATACCCAAATTCCCTGACAAACTGGACCTGAAGTGACAAAAACTTCTGTTTTCTGTCCACTGCTCTTTGCAAGCTGGTCAATGTCCAAAACTCATTACAGAACATAGCACTTATTTCAAGTAAGCTTAGTGTTAATTAAGCATGTCAGCATAGATCCTTTAACAGTCTAACAGGGATTCCTGGAAAGATGTAAAGAGCCCATCATTCCAAAGGTCCTCCTCATCAGGGGCTGCAAAACAGAGGGAATAAGCTGGCAGGTATCAGAAGAAACATGCAGAGGCTTTCTGCTTACACTGGAAGAACAAGTGCCTGAGTTGGGACAACAGTGTTGTAAGACAGGTCAATTGCACATTTATTTCTTTAATCACAAAAGCAGGTATCACTTGTTATTTCTCCAGTGACTGTTTATTACTCCTGGCATCCAGTCAGAAGCAATTTCCAAGTAATGTGAATTTTACATCAGAACAATATTTTTTAGTAGATAATCACAGACAGCCCATGCAAATTTCAAAAATATTATTGGACACAAGGCCTAGTGTGCTCTATTGTGAAGCTCTATGTCCTTTCAAATAAACTGCTGTAAATGGAAAAGTCTCTAATTATGGAAAAAATCAATTACACTTTTCTGCTTGTAACTTCACCACCCAGTGTTACATTTAGACTGCCTCCTTGAGCAGAGGGAGAAAGATGACACAGGCACTGAACTGAGTTTGACCAGCAGGTCACAACTTTATCATCTGTATCTCCAGGGCTTGACTACAGGTTTAATAACATACTGATCTACAACTCCGGGCCACAATGGATGAAAAGGGTGCAGTTCTAGTCAATGCAGATCTGGATCTGTGAATTCCCAAATTCTGTCTGCCAGTCTGCTCTCCCAAAACTGCTGCCAAGCTGGCCCTTGGTCCACACATTGGGACTCCCAGCCTGCTCTGCTGCGTTTAGCTCCTGAGGACAGGCTCTGGGCCCTCTCGCAGTATCTGCTATTACGTGTGACATGTGCAGCACAGCCACACATTCCCATATGCATTGTATCTGGCCTGCCTGCTGATCTCGTAAATGATTCAAGATGAGAAATGAACAGCTCCACCCACATTCACTGTACTTCCCATATGTTACAACTGCACATCGATGCCTGCCATCATTTTTACAACTGGGTGACAGAACCTTCTGCACATTTTGCTAATACGAGTGAGGGAGGTTGCACGGTCGCCACGTTCACTTTGGCAACAGCACCTACCAGGCAAATGTACTGTGTCCTGAGCATCTGAGTGACCACTGTGTCCCTCCTGTCTAAATGAGGCATTTTTTCCACCAAAGTGGCAAGATCTGTCTAGTTGGGATGGCATGCAGCTGCTCCCCCTTGGCCTGGCCGTGTTGGAGGACAGGGAATGACACCATGCTCTGTCACATTACTTCAAGGCACAAGGTGAAAATGTAGCTCTTGAACCATGGTACCATGTTTGGACTATCCACAGGACAGCCTGGCACCAAGGAGAAAGCTCCCAGTCAGTAGTAATAACAATACCCTTCACATAATTTCCCATTAACCACTTCAAAATCCGAATTTCTCTATGGAGGCAGGAAAGAGACAGTTCCATGAGATGAGTGGTTCCACAGAAAGAGAACGCAACCGAGGCATCACAAGCTGCAGTGAAAGCTTCAAGGCAAACGTTTTGCTCTGATTCTCAGTACCTGGAACTCATAGGCAGCTTTATGTTAGAATGGCTCCAACCTACCCCGCTTTTTTTGTGCAATTACAACATGCAGAAGAGTTCACATGGCAGTGAAATTTGCATCTGAGCCTAGGCTATACTCCAGGCTGTCCAGAAATGAAGTGAAAAGTGATAGATAGGGTTTCGTTACATTTTGACAGGTATGGCTAGACAGTCACTGCAAGACCCTGCAGAGATGAGGTGAAACATCAAACACAAAGGACAGCTTTGGCATCAAGGTGAATTCCACCTGCAGAATAAACTTCTGTTGCATCCAACACTCCAAAGCTGTACTAGCACCCACCATGTTACACTTCCCCTTATGTGTGGCCTACAGATAAAAACAAAAGCTGCTTTCTTTTCTATAACAACACATAGCTAAAGCAGGAGCACCCTCAGGACTCAGGCTGCAAGCTCCCTGCCCTGGGAGACTCAGACCCATTAATCCACAGGCAATCCACAATGATGGTAAAAGCTCACATAACCTGTCAGCCCTCCTCTGGGTTTTAATGTTGATTTGAAGGAAACTATTATGCAAAGATCTGTGGGCAGTACCCATTCACCCTGCAGTGGGTATCAGTCAGTCCTTGACATAGTAGAGGCATTAAAAGGTTATTTACTCTTTCAGCATAGTCAGGTTACTGATGTAAAACGTTTTCACTTTACTCCACAGAGCTGGATTTGCTGAAATGGCGTGATTGGATTGCAGCAACCTGCAGCAGCTAAATCACCAAATCCAATAATCATGCTGCATTTACTGGCACACATCTTAATTAGGTTTTAATACAAGTAATCTGATAACTACTTCTGGCCAGCCAGAGCGGAGCTGTCAGTGCTGCAAGGGCTGTTGTTGAGCAGCTCGGCCAGCGCGCTGCCGTGGCTGCCTCCCCGCTGCCCCTGCTGAAGCCCCCCATCTGCCAGTTGCCATGGTAACACAGCCCATCACCTCAGCAGTGGGTGCTGCGACCCTCAGGCACCCCAGGGCAAGGGCTGGGGCATCAGCCACCCAGGAGACCACCAGCCACACAGGGGGGCCACCAGCACCAGGGCCACATCTCTGTGGGTGAGGGGTGCTGGGCCTGGCTCCTGCTGTCCCCCAGAATGACCAAAGCCCAGCACAACCAGCACACGTCATTGTGCAGCAAATTGCCTTTAAAATGCATTTGTCCTGTCAGGGCAGGAGCGTCAGACTATGAGTTCCTAAGGTTGCTCCTGCATTGCTCATTTGCCTGATGACCAGGGCTGGTTCCTGGTTCTGATTGGGAAAACCAAAGACCACGCTGGAGACCTCAGCCATGCTGCAGAGATGCAGCTGAAGGGTGATCACTATGATCACACTTAGTTCCTGACACAGATAGAGCAGGCACTACCTGAGGTCATCTCCCACTATCTGAGGTCATCTCCTGCTGAATCCAAGTCAGTGATCAGGCCTACTTTGCCTATATGATGATCTTGGTGCCAGACTTAACATCAAAGAGTTAAGGTGTATGGCTGGTGCTCACACTGAGCTTGTTTCTGCAGCCGCAACTGCCCCAGCTGCTTTCACTCCCCACCTCTCTTGTGGGCATGGTAGGACAGGTTTCCTCTGCTTCTTTTCCACCTCAACTCTGCTACCTTTCTGCCTTCCCTTTTCATAGCTGAAGTGATGTTGTTGTTTTCATTAAGGCAGAAAAATTTATATTCACTACCTCTTTGTATCTTGAATCAGCTCTGTGAACAACTAGGATAAATAAAATTATTACTCATGTGAGAAACTTGCATCTTCACTGTGGTTTACAGCACTGATAAATTCACACAGTAAATTTTGAGGTAAAAAAATTAAGAGTCTATGTATTTAGAAAGGCAGACAAACAGTAAATTAAACCCTGATGTTTCACTAGTGTCCTAAATTACTGTTTACTTAAGATCTTGACCCATAGATCAGTGCCTTGAAACAACCTTAAGTGATGAGCATCACAGAGAAGCCTCCACATGCTCCCAAAATTTAAACAGGAATATCTATACACACAGCCTATCCTTTAACTGAACTGCATTCTCCCACCTGGCTTCAAAATCAAAACACTATGATGCACCTTTTGCATGTTAATACAAGATAAAAAAAAGCATAAGAGGAAAACCACACAGACCAAAAAGCCACCCTGTAACAGTAAGTAGGAACTAAAGGTAGTGAATAAGCCTCCTCCTTTCTGTCACACTGGAAGTCCTGACTTCTAACAGGACACAGGGAGACAGTTCAGGGCATATTAAAAAAGTTTCCATGGAATTTCCCACCCTCTGGAACCCCTATCAGACTTCTGCTGCCGCAAAAAGGACAAGACTGTCATTTGCTCAGGCAGAGCAGATCTACACCACTTCTAGCTTAGTAAGATAAGCACTTGCCCATGCTACAGGCAGAACAAACTCATCCAACTGATGTTAACAGATGGTAACTAGAAGTTAATATTCTTTGCACAGTTTGGAACTGGACACCTAAGAAGCAAATGTTCACATTTTTCCATGAACCCCTTGATCCAGGTGGCTTTGTATCACTCATTTATTTTTTTATTTTATTTTATATCTATTGGGTAACATTTAAATTCCCTTTTACTAAAGACACTCTCATTTTTTCCACATCCTTTTAAAGTATCTATAGTATATAATTTCTAATAAGATAACAATATTTGCATGCCACAATAACACCTGCAAATAGGGTTTAATTAAAAGTTTACATAGGAGCTTCCCCTTTGTTTCAGATGTCACCACTGAGTATTAGAATATGTCCTCACTTCCACAGCTGGCCCACCAGGTTAAACAAATAGATCATGTAGGAAACCTGAGCCTGGATCTATTCCTGGGCTTCTAATAGCTCATGTCTAACATGCTGAAGAGAACATTATCAGCCTGCTCTTCAGTAGGGGGGTGTAGCAGCTGGGCTTGGCTGCTG